TGTTTGTCTCTCTCTCTCTCTCTCTCTCTCTCTCTCTCTCTCTCTCTCTCTCTCTCTCTCTCTCTCTCACACACACACACACACACACTCCTTCCTCTTGCTCCGGCTCATTCTCTTTCTCTCTCCTCTTCCTCATTTCCCCCTCCTAGGTTCTGTGCAGGCAGATGAGTGGCACAGCTGTAACTGAAGCACCCAGCAATAATGTAGCGAGCCAATCTCCACCGTGGCAAGAAGGGGCACCGGAGGTGACAACAATGACAAGACCGTGCTGCTGACAAGTTTTGGGTAAGAAAAAATACAAGCCTCTTTGATGCTTGTATTTCTGCATCCTTGTGGCTGAGATGTTGTGCTGGAAGGCGCGTCTCTTGGTCGGGAAATATTCCGAGAGGATATCGTGTGCTGGCTGTCATTTCCCTACTCGCCTGTAAACCTGTGTTCTCAGGGCTTTGTGTTACTGGAATCATCATCGGAGGTGAGGGGTGAGCCTGGTTGGTGGAAGGGTGAGCTGCTTTTTATGTCTGTGGTGACATTTCTCATGCTGCTTAAATGTATATCTGGAAAAAATTCTGTTTGATGATAGTTAGCAGTGTTTTGTGCAGTGTGGAGCATATGGCTGGGCAGAATTCAAGCGATGCTCTTTCATTCTTAATTTGTAATTATTTTTACCTTCAACTGTACTGAGGTCAGAGGGTTTTAAAAATTAATGAGATTCCCTGTGGAGTTCAAATAGTAATATCTATGTGAGCTGCCACAGAAAGATAAGATTAAGCTGGTATATTTATACCATAGATTTTGCAGTCTTAGTTTGAACATAGTCCATATGAAATACGGAAAAAAGACAATAGTTTGTGGGAGTCAATGCTGTTTGGGAGGCAGTGCTTAATTTTGTTTTTAATGACCAGGAGACACTGAGTCCAAATTAGACTGTTAAGGGTGAACACTTTGTGTGGAGAGATGACTAAAACTTCATAGACATTGTTGTTATGATAATGGCAAATACCGTGTACTTTCGAGGAAATGACAATGAATGAGCCACATGATAAAACCATCTGCAAATGTGTTTTCATTTTAAGTCATATATTAAAAATTCAGCGGATATTTTGGGTGAAAAATTGCTGTCATGAACAAAGAAGCAAGGGTACACACAGATGAGAATTCTTTGTCACAAGAAGGAGTCCGGGGCATGGATTTAGGAGGTTAAGTAATTTTTATGTCTTCAGTGCCCCACAAAGGGAATGTGTACTGGGATGAGTTCCAGGCATTTAAAAATGTACCAAAAACTTTCATTTCCCACAATCTAAAGACATTGTTTATATTCCTCTTGCTACACAGTGTTTAAATGAGGGGGACTAGAAAGCAGTCTGAATATACAGTAATCGGGGCTAAAGATGTTTTTTTATCCTGCTTCCCCCTTTACAAGACCCATTCGGGGCTTCCTGGGATATATTGTTATGTAAATACTGTGCAGCCAGGGAAAGCAGTGCTATGGAGATTCAATTTACTTTGAAAGTTGTTCATTATAGCGGGGATGAATGTTATTTATTTGATGTGATTCAAAGGCTGGAAATGACTTTTTCATTGTGGCACCTTTTGTCATGGGTGCAGGGTGATCTAATCTTTTTAATTTTGGCTTTCACACCAGTGGAGATGAAAGGAGATCTAAACTCATTTATCGGTTGCTAGGTCCTTCTGGAGGCCCAAGTTCTGTTCCTGGTTGCTATGGCCAGTCTGACCTCAATCTCTGTGGTTTTGGGGGCTTAAGCTGTCTTTTTTTTTTTTTAAATTGAGGAGCATGTACCTTGATTTATGTCCAAAATTGTGGCTGACCGTCTTTGTCTGCGAGTGATAAATGGTGCCGAACAATTCATCAGTTCTTACAAGTAAACACCGCTGTCCCTCTAAAAATATGTTTTGTTCTGAGTTAATGGTATGGAACAAGGCATTCTCCGCAAGCAGCTATCTTCTATTGTGAAGGGCCGCTGGAACTTGGAGCAAAGTGGAGGAAATTGGCATTCATTTTCTTGTCCATTAGCATTTCACTCGGGATTGGGATGCTGCCTCTGATCTGCAGGACTGAGGAGGGTAGAGGAAGCCTTTCCTTGCTTCCTTACCTTCGCTCTGACCTCGGGAACGGCCTTCTCCCCACGCCTGCCTGGGGCTGAGGGGAGCGGGCAGTCGGGACTCGCGAATAGTTTCTCGGAAGCTGTCGCCTCCGCTTTGCCAAGCGCTTGGCCACCCTCAGGGACATGTGCTTCCCGGGGCTCGGCTGCTGCGACTAGTGTCGCCTTCAGTTCGGGCTGGATCGTGGAGGGAAAGTTGTGTCCGACATTGGCCACTCCTGGTCGTGCTCTGTGCGTGCCCCAAATGGTCCCGGACCTCCTCCGGGCGAGACCCTTGTTAGGCAGGAGCTGATTAAAATCACTGCGGAGACACAGCCAGCCGGGAGCAGCAGATGAGCCCTAACCCAGCGCCTTCCCCTTCCAAACTGCTAATTGATGGATGTTGCAGGGACCGTACAGTGTGCTAATAAGGTGATGATGACAAAATAGGTATCAGGAAAGGCATTCATTGCTTATAGGCACCAACTGTGGCTTTGTAGGGTAGTTTTCTCTCCTTTTGAAAGTCATATGCTAATGGTTTTTATTCTGAATCGGCCAGCGCTGAGTAGCTCCAGGACCCTGGGACCGGAAAGTGACACCCTCTTCGAGCTGAAAGGTAAAAATTCAACATTTTTTAAGGTGCAATTTTAAGACCCTTTCATGTGCTCCTCGCTAGAACCATTAGAAAACTGCTTTCTAAGTGTGACTGTAAAAATATGGATTATTTTTTAATATAAAAGGTGTAAAGAGAACAACTGTGAGAATTTTATTGTTAAGTCTTTTTCAAAAGATTTGCTACCTTTGTGAACAAAATGCAGTCAGGAGCTTTGCGTGTTTCTCTTTCAGCCTTGGAAATGAATAGCTTTTTATTTCTTTAGAGGAAATGATCATTGGGGGGTATTAATGAAAACAATGTTTATTTTATGTAGATTTGAGTACCAGAGCCGGTAAATTACAAGCCAAGGTTAGGTGATGTCAAAGGTCTCTTCTGCCTTAAAACTTCTTCATAAAGTACCAGTTGTGGGGAAGAATGCCTAAGGACATCTTTATTATTATAGTCCCACTTATTTGGCTGATGCTTTAGTTGAGTAAAAGTCAAAAGTTCTATGTTCCTGTATGCAAGTAATCATTGAAATTAATTTTCAAATAATTGATTATTTAAAGTTTTTTCCCCCTCTCCTATAGATATATTAGGGCTTTGTTAAACTGAGATTTTTGCAGAGTTCACCTTGTGGCTCCTTTACTAGGCTTTCTTCCTTCAGGTCTTCTTGAAGGTAATATTTGCTGAGTGGTTAATTTCACAAGAAATATTTAATTCTAGGTATCTGAAGACAAATACTCCCCGGTATGTAAGTGTGTATGTGTGCGAACATATTTTTATATAAAATAGCTTCTAAATTTCACATCTTGTTTTGCTCAGCTGTGATTTCAAAGGTGAATATTGGAGAGCGTTCCATTTCCCGAAATGATTAGATTCACTCTGAAGAATCTGGGGAAAAGGCCTATAATGACATTCTGATGACTTTCATTTTAAGGTGTAATAGAAATTGAGTAAAATATTTTAATAGCTATTCTCTTAATATCTCATTCCAAATACAATGTTTTTATTGCTCATTCTAGCTTTACAATTTTCTAGTGCTAATAATGGTTGCCTGGTAATTGTTTCTTATATGCAAGTCATTTTATCCTTATGTAAAAGTTATTTCAGAAAGGTCTTCAGGCATTTATCTCAGCTCAAACAATTGTGTTTAACTCTTGAGATAAAATAGTATTTCCAGATTGCTTCAACTTTAATTTGGTACAGGATTTCCTAAGGATAATTAGTTGTTTCTTCAAGAAAAGACGAGACAATATGATTGCTCATGGTTTAAAAAGGAAAAGAAAAAAATGGTATGCAAGTAAGAGAAAGCTGAGAAAACGGAAGGAAAAAATACCAAGCTCTATCACAAAACCGATTGTTGCTTTTTAGATGTAATGTGTTTTTTTGTTATTTAAAATTGGGCGAAAAAATAAAAAAGCCCTGCATGTAAATGCACAGTTGTTGTATCTGTTTGTATTGAATAGGTAAGTGCAGACAGATAAACTTAGTATGATTGTACCTAATGTTATCAGAAACATCATGGCACTTTAGTTCTTTCGGGGAGATGTACACACAAGTAAAGTTAATCACACAGCTTTTAAAGGATAAAATCTTTTGGGAACTGGAGTTGTGACATATTAGATCAATTTTCATGTAACTCAAAATGAAATTCTTACATCACTTTTCTGTGCAAGTTACACAAAGCCAGTGGCTTCCAAAGTGCATTGTTTAAAATGCTAATTAGAAATATATTTTATACAATTTAAAATAAAGTGAATATTAAAGTTAGAATACAGTGTCACTGAATTAACATGCTTTTACTGCAGTTGTTTATAAAAATAAAATTAAGCTCTTGCATCTGATTATTCTCTTCTGATATATTTGAAAATATCCCAAAGCTTGCTTTATTTTTGTAATTCATATACCTTTCCAAACACCACTGTCATAGAGCATATGGTTACTCATGATTTGTTTCTGCCTACTATCATTTTGGTCTTTGTCTTTTTGGAATGCTCTTATTTTTTTTTTCCTATCACCCAGAAAATTGTACTGACTTTAAGGCCGTCTATCTGAACTATTTGTCTGAATTTCAGAGAGGACCTCAAAATTTATTTTACTAGAAATTTGTGTGAGGCATTGAGACTTTGAGAAGTTATTTGAGGGGTGATGAGCAGGTGGATTTCCCCCGTAGCAGCAAGCACTCTGTGTAATTTAAGGAAGACTTTACTTCAGTAATCTTTCTACAACTTCATCCAGGTCATTTCTTATATAGTGTTAACGGGCAGGGCGGGGGCCTTCTGGCTCGCTACTGAGATATCCCCCAAGAGCCTGTGCCAGCATATTGCAAAGGGTTCGTGGACACATTTTATGTACAGCTCTCATATTTAATCCTCTGTGCGATCCAACAGGAAATTTTAATTTGCATCATCATCATTCAGGGAGCTTTTGTTTAAATGATGCCAGAACAGGTGAAGAAATAGAAATGTATTCTTGTACTTTTCATGTCACTCACTAATAATTATTCAGACTTTTGAATGTGGAAATTGTATTTACTTAATGGTGCTTATGATCTCTTTTTGAAGAGATGGCCTATATATATTTGTTATGACCTTGAGTCCATCTAAAGTTCTTAGACATCATGATTCTCTAACACTATACCAGTACACAGAACTTTTGGCATCCTTAATAATAACTCTAAGCCTTACATTTATGTTCTTAATGTTTCTTGACATTATTTAGCCACTGTGTACTTCTGTTGTATAAATCCTTGAATTTCTTATATTTTCTGATAATTGAGTTTGCAGTTCAAACACAAATACCAAAATGTACTGTTAGGGTAGGAGGGGTTCCCTCAAAGGCAGAAACATAAAATCACACTCAGTGGTTGGGAAGATGTGGTGTATAGTTAATTATAGCAGCCTTAAGATTTTTAACGTAGTTTGCTAAAGATATCTTTAAAACATTAAATTTCCAGGAAGTATTTGAAGAATTCAATTTGCTAGATAGAAAATTGAAACAAGAAATCGAACACCTTATTTTTAAAAATCTCCTATATGGATTCAGAAATTGTTCATTTATTCAGCAAACATTTATTACATGACCTATTGTTTACTAGAAAGTATTCTTGTGACTCTTAATTTAATAGTCACTATGAATTCAATATCCAATATTATTTGCCTAATTTTGCACATTATTGGAATTTCACTCATTGTACATATATCATCAGCCAATTCCCTCATAATCCTTGTCATTTTGGACGTCATATTTCTCTTGTCTCTTCTTTAAAGGGATTAAACTGTCAGCCTTACAAGAATACATAGTTTATCAGGTTAGAGGAATATGTAGATCAGATAGCCAGGGCATGCATTGGAAAGTTATTTTACTGAAATGTATTTAAATATGTTGTCTGCATGCATCCCCTTCCCTCCAGTACTCAGGCCCACAAGGCAGCAGGCACGAAGTAGGGTCAACTGCTCTTAACTCTTCCTTCCGGCGCTTCTCAAACCGTTTAAAGGATTTCTAATTATGCTCATTAGTGGCTAACACTTATTTGCTACATGCCAGACAACGTGCTCAGCCCTTTACCATTGTTGTCTGGTTTAATCTTCTCAGTCACCTTATCAGAAAGGTGACATCACTGGCCTGTTTGCAGATGAGGAGACTTTGAAAAGTTCAGTAACTTCTACCAGCTCACAAAGCTAGTAGGCAGCCATGATGACTGAGAACTTAAGTACTTTAGGTTCTATTAATTCAACAAGCATTCATTCAACAAGTATCACTGATTATCTCTGAGGCTTGCTCAAGATGCTCAGCATACCCTTGTGGCTACAACAGGCCCTTAGCTTTACTGCCTTCAGAATCAAGGTGTACCCTAACCACCTTGATACTTTCATATGCTGTTCCCCTCCACATGCAGGGATTCTCAGAGCCAGTAGAGCACAATTATTACACCTCAAGCCTTTTCAAATCTTTTACCATTTGAATTCAGTCTTTCTTTCTAACTGCACCATTGCCTGTTACTATATGGGAATTCTCACTGGAAGGCTGATTTTCTCACCGTCCCCATGAAGTTTGTCTTGGATTTTCTTAGATCGTTCCTGGACTAGAAACAGTTTTGCCTGGGCTTTCTCATAATCTCTGTCCTCCAATAGTCTGGGTAAACAAGCCTATCTTAGGAACAAAATCCTAAAATTCTTTCATTTGCATAGATCATTTGATCCATGACATTGGCAACAACTAAAGGAACTAGAGGCTCGATGCAGCTTAGCTTAGCACTGTCTTGTGTCTGTGTTTGTGGATGTGCCCAAGTGACAGGTTGGCATGGAGCTCAGAGAACCAACAGTGAAATAAAGCAAGGAAGAAAAGGGGTTAAGACTGGAAGGTTGGGAGAAGAGCCCTACTGCCTCCCATGGTGCCTGGGATTAGGGTAACAGCACACATTTGAGACTGGGAAGAGGAGAGGAGGGGGAAGAAGGAAGTAGAGAGGCTAACTATAGGAAAGCTCACAGGGGAAAAGAAATAATACTTCTAAATTCATAACCCAAGGCCTATAAAGATCTTTAAATATTTATAATCAGGTTAGAGAATGTATAGATATATACAGTGGTCTTTACTTTCAAATATATTTTTGCTTTTTGATCGTTGTCACTAGGTAGAAAAGATGTCACTTTTATCAATGTTCAAGCATTTTCTTGAAATACAACGAACTTTTGGTGTTTGGAAAAACAAGTGCAATTGTTTATATTAGTTTTCCATCATCCAGGCGCACAATGGAACTGGTACCAAGTTGGTTTTGTTGTTTTACTATATGTGATTTTTTTCTCTCTTCCCTGGAATGTATTTCAATATCATAAAAGTTGTCGGCCACCTCCTTCGCTGCCCAAAAAGCCATTTCCTTATCCATTATAAAGTTTCAACTACTTAACACAGCATGTTGTATTTTTGTCAATAAAAGCCAAATTCAGCCTGCACGTATCTGGTGCGGACTCCTCTGTTCACAAGCAACTTTCAAGGTTAATTTTATTTATGTTTTTTCC